TAATGTTGAATATGCTAAAGGGAAGCATGCTGGACTATTTGGATTTGCCCTATTGGTGACTGTTTTTTTTGTCATACCATACACACTGTTCCTTCTACTTAATCGTTTTTACGAAAAGTATCTTTCAAATGTCAAAGTTTTTAGAAATTTTTGGAATCATTTCAAGCCTATTATTGATGCTTATAGTGGTCCAATGAAAGATGAGTATCGGTTCTGGCCTGGTCTACTCCTAGTGGCTAGGATACCAGTACTTTTAACTGTCACCTTTTTGAAGAATGAATCACGTGTCTTGCTATTGGCAGTAGCAGCTATCATCCTCTCCCTTACTTTTATCTTTGGTGGTGTGTACAGAAAAAAATTGAACAATATCATTGAATTTTGGTTCCTATTAAACTTGGGCATCATGGCTTCTTTATCTATAGCCTTTACTGATGAGAGTAAAGTATTGATCTGGTACAATACTTGTTTATCTGTTTTTATTTTTAGTTTTATTTTGATTGTTGTTTATCATCTTTACCTGCAGTTATCACATATGAAATGTTATGATGCTCTAATTAAGAAGTTATTCAAGAAACAAGATGAAGATGATGAGCCTCTTTTAGATGTAGCTGAATCACATCTAACTGTTGATCAACAAAGGAGAGCTATGGTACCAAGTTCTACTGATGTTAGACGCTGTGCTAGTCGTGAATCAGTTGTTGAATTGTTTTAGTAATCTTTGCTGTCAGTTTTTAATTAATCATACAATTATTGTTGTCATTAGTTTCAGAAACTAATAATTATTTAGAAAGTTAAGTTTTAGTTGCATACTTCTTGTTATTATACAATTTCTTTTTTTTTTTTGATGATTTTTCCACTTTTACAATAAAACTATAAACTACATTAGAAGGCCAATATGGAGTAGCAAGTAATACTGAAATGTACATAGCAGCATGATAGATATCCTGCCCACCTTATGACTCCCTCCTATTTCTAGTATATAATAAACACATTATTCAATGATTTACAGAGTAATAGCTAGTGATTGTTGTATTTTCACTCACCAAAGCTCATGAATAACTACTAGCTCATAATATTCACCAAACAACTTTATAAGATCACCCGAAATGTTTATTACATTTTCTAAAACATATTGATGTCTTTATGCTGTGTAAAAGTTTGACAAATAGTTGCGAGCATTTTAAACTTTAAAATTCATCCTACAGTACATGTATATATACACTAGTGTACTTGCCATATATGGACACAAACAGGTCCATGTTTTTAAAAGCTACATGTACATAATTTGGTGAAAATAAAAAATAATAATAAATATAAGCTACATGTATTAAATAATCAATTATTATTATTATTATTCAATATATATATATTTAACTGCATCTCATACAGTCTTGATATTGTTCTGTCATAAGCAAAGAGCTCCTCCTCACCAGTAAATATACTGTAAGACACTGCATCCTCCTATTAATAATAATAATAATAATAATAATAATAATAATAATAATAATAATAATAATAATAATATACTTGATTAATTTGAAGGTCATCCATTAGTTGTCTGGTATGATCACCGTCACTTGTCATTATTTTATTGGAAAATAATTTTGAAGGAGAACCTTGAGCTGTACACACTAACTTAACCTGAGGAGAGAGAGAGAGAGAGAGAGGGGGGGGAGAGAGGGAGAGAGAGAGGGAGAGAGAGAGTGAGAGAGAGAGAGAGAGAGGGGGGAGAGAGAGAGAGTCACACAGTATATAGTCAGTTCACATACTTTATGATCATAGAGTGTATCTATTAGTGTAATGAACCGTCTCCCTTGAGTCCTCATTTGGTTAGTAATACATGGAATATCTTGTATGAATATTGTATTGAATACTTTACATATTTCAATGTAATCAGCAGCACTTAGAGGCTATAGCAAACAAAAAAAAAACAAATAATAACAACAACAACAACAATAATAATAATCTTCAATTCCCTTATTCCTATCACTCTATTAGTCCATTGGTACAGTGTGTGTGTGTTGTAGTGTACTAGTAGTTACTGGTAAAACCACAAATAAAAACAAATCATTACTAGTACTAGTATAAAGTCACTGTACAAAGTATATATACAGGAACCAGTTAATTGAATTACAATCACTCATTCCTTGAAGGATGACTCATATACACTTGTCTAGACACCTACACGGGCGTCGCTGGCCTTGAAACTGAAACATTGGTAGGGCACTGGGAAATCTTTTCGCGCGCGAAAAATTTTGCCGCGTCTAATTAATATTCATGATGGGTGTGGTCAATTTTGGTCAATTAATTGATTGGTTGATTAACTTTTGACGCCCAAAAATAATTCATAATGGCGTTCATTTCCACAGTCGTGACGCCAACGGTACCGGAAGTCATAAGAGCCTGTATAATTTTATTGTAATACACTTGACAGTATGAATAATTAATAAGTTGCTACTTTATTTTATATTTATTTTTCATTTGATAGTTTTACTATGAAATTTGCATACAATACACAGAACATACATATTTATCACCATAAAAAAACATCAACCAGTTTAAATAAACTATAACAGAACTGCAAGCAACTGATGTCCTTGACTTTACCGGATGCATACAGTGTTCTAGACAATTCCAGCTTCTTGTCCATTTGCTTACAACAAGATAGTAGCTAGAAGAATATACTCCAGAAGTTTAAAGTTGTTCCAGCAAGAAATAAGGATGCTGTGGTCTCTGAAAGTCAATGGCACACAATATGACTATAATGACAAGTATAAAATCTAGCTCTAAAAGGATTTCAAACAATTCTATTGAGGTAAAATGACTTGATTAATGATCCTGAGTGTGGAATCTGTAGAAAAAAGGAACAGAACAGTCAAAATATGGCATGAAAGAATGGACTATGCAGGCTGAATCTACATTATGGATGCAACTGTCGTTCTAGACAACAGTATCAAAACGAAACTTTGCATACACAAAGATCTACTGATAGGCCAGTTGCATACCTAATTCTGAGCTGTTCTGGCCAGTCCCAGTACTATTATATACCTAGACAGTGTACACCATTTTCCAAACAGCGACAATAACAAGCAAAATATACTTACATTTCAGACTGAAAACTAACCAATTGATTCTATACCTTTTTGCTTCAAGTTTGAGTTTGCTTCTTAGAGCTATAGACTGCCCACCATCTTGTAAACTGCACAAAACTAAACACAGCTTTAGCCATCACTTGGCAGCCATTATGACGTCACTTGGAAAATAAAATTCACGTGAGCTTACCGTTGGCGTCGCGACTGTCCAGCAATAAATTGCTTAACTACCGACTGTATTTCTACATTATGAGTCAGTTGTTGGTGTGTGTGAAGAAGTAAGCAGTGATTGAGTCTTTCCTGGATAGTTATTAAATGAATTAATAACTAATTTTAATAAAAATGGCTACTGATCTTCAAAATATTGGTGGGGCAATTGCCCTACCTGCCCCTTAGGCAGCGACGCCTCTGGCCATGTACTATAAAGTAACTGTACATCCATACATGTAATGGAAATACTGTACTATACTGCATACTGTTTTACTGGTAAAACACATACATGTAGTATATTATAGGAATCATTTATTAATGGAAAAACAATTACAATCACATCTTATACTATACTACTAATGTACTAGTACAGTATATAGTTCCTCTTTTGAGAGATCACCCTTGGGTTATGGGAAGTGTCAGTTATTATTACAAGAGGTGGTTTTTCACCCAGGGGGTGGGGGGTCGGGGGGCACTCTCTTAGTACATGTACATCACTTACTCTGTTACAAAGCTCATCAAAGTGGAAATATGCCAAGTCAGCACACGACTGGTCTATGAGTAGCTCTCGTCCTAAAAACTTTAACTTGGCCCGTGAAATAACTAAAAGAAGAGAAAGGGACCCTTGTGAAAAATCCCAGCAAGATCTTATAAGGTTTTTCATGATTTCACATGATTATACAAGAAAACATAAGATAGTAATCTTGTAAAATCTTAACACAGAAATTCTTGCAAGTTCTTATTTAAGATTTGATAAGATTTGAACAACCTGTCAGCATAGGCGGCTACAGAATCTTGAATTAACCAGGGCTCATTAATTATTTATAAGAATTAGGGGTGTGGTCAATTAATAAAATGACTGAAAGTCCTTATGATAGCTCACAGAAGCCAGTTACCACACTAAAATAACTTTAAACTGGAGCTGATAGCAAATATAAACAGTTGTGGCTATAAAAAATGAATTCTAGTGATGATATCACTCCTAATAATAACAAAACACACCTTTTGGGTGTGGTTTTGGTTGAAAACTACCAGGGCAAAGCCCTGGCTTGCCCGGGCCTATAGCCGCCTATGCCTGTCAGATCTTGTGAGATCTATCATAACTACAATTGTTGTAAGAGTTTTAAAGATCTTATGAATAAAGGAATATGTCAGAAAATGTAAGATCACGCCTCACTTAAATGTTGTAATACCACACCTTGTAAGAACTAAGATGATCTTGTTAAATTGAAATCTAATAAGATCTTACAAAATCTAGTAAGTTTATGATCTTGAAGAATCATCCATGATCACACGACACATAAGATCACTCATTAAGTCATAAAAGATCTTGAAAGATCTTACAAATTGCATGACGTCACAGGAAGTGGTAGACAACCCACGATAGCCTTTATGATAATGGCAGTATATAAAGAAAGTAAAATTTCAACATAATTAAGTCAAAAAGTTAATGAAGTTCACATTAACCTTCACATCATTAAGTAATTCATTTATGCAATGTAAGATCTTGCTCAGATCTTACTGTTACATCTATTTTTCATAAGCTGAAACTTCATGTAAGAACTCAGTTAATATTTTAAAATCTTGATCAAGCAAGATCCCATGATATCTCATACAGTTAATGTATTGCAAATTTGTCATATAATTCTATTTATTCATATCTTATTCATTGAAAATGTCTTATAATGATTATATAATACAATAAGAACAGTAAAAAGAGAAGGAAGAAGGGAAAAGTGCAATTCAACAACAAAAATACTGTTTATATATATGAAACAACAATAAAATTGAACCGAAATGCATGTTTCATGGCATCGAGACCAACTTGTAGCATATTACCGGGATACCTTTCACTAAGATGCCTCTTCAGAATCAATAAGATGCTGGATGCTACCACTCTATAGCTTGTTTTTCAGCATTCTCTCAACAACTCTTGAAAAGTCGCCATTTTGATAATTATTAAAATTCAATGTGACCTGTGGTCTTATGTCATGGATAACTGAATCTGATTGGTCACGTCCATTTCTGGACGTATAAGAACAGGACTACAGTGCTTTGCAGGTTGCTTGACCCTGCAGCTCGTTAATCACGTGACTCTCATCATACTAGTAATACATGTCA